AAGAAGTATAACTTTGGTCAGTAAGGATTCTTGGTGGCAGACTCTAGTAACGGAACCCTGGAGAACGAAACGCCATGTTGGCCTTCTTACTGTGAGGTCTCACGCTCCTCGACCTGTTGACAAATCCCCGCGTGACGCCGATGTTGCATGAAGATAAATAGTGACGCTCCTCTGCTGCTGACAGGAACAACATCTGAAAGGTGGGTTCGTGTGGCTGACTCAAGCAGCTTTCTGTTTTCTATTTTAAATAGATGATTGTCTCCAATAATCTCACAGCTGAAGAGTTCAACTAAGCTGCACGTGCTCCACTACGTTACGAACATAGTGGAATTGTTAAAAAATTTTCAGACACTTGCTAAATTTAAATTAATTTTATTGCAGACCCAAAGTCTATGGAATTTCGTAATTCTATATTCGCGTAATAACAAAAAACCCCAATCAATAATAAATATAAATATACATTTAATATGATTGCCATTCAGGAGGCAATCATATTAATGTTTCCAAAAACAAATGAGTATCTTACTGTCCTATATTGAACTTTTGTCAACAACAGGATTATTATAACACTTGTTTAATTAGCAAATAAATGTTTCTTAAGCTTTCTTAAAACGTCCATCAAAGAGCTGACACTAGCATACAAACAGTTCACTGGCATTATTCTATCTGGGCTTTTTAAACAAAAGTCTAATGCATCATTATAAGCCTGTTTTTTTATTTTTTATTGAAATTGCAAAATGCTACGTAAATCTGACATTTTGACTAGTGTCAAGAAAAATCCGAGATCATCCCACTTCCCCATGCTGGAGATTTTAGTTAACAGTAACAACAAATAAAGTTATCTTCAAAATAAGTCACACCAATCACATCTAGATCCAACAGTAGACCCAGACTGCAATAAAATAAATCTGGTTGTGTGTGTTGTTTTTGTCTCCTGCAAACTTAGCTTTCATTATACTTATTTTTTATATCTAATCATAAGAAATCATAGTCAGAGAGAGAGATGAGACAGGAAGAGCAGCTTTCATGGAAAAAGAGGAAGTAAGTTTCCAGCTTGCAGATTTATAAAAATAGCTGAGACCAGTCCTTGTTTAAAAGCATAAAAGTTTCAAAGGATAAAATCTAAACATTTTGAGTAATTTTAAAGTAAAGTACTTATATTAATATTGGTTTACTTATAACAATACTTACTGACACTTGTGGAAAAACGTACAAGTAAAACAAGTAACTGTAACTTTGGTATCAAATAATAAAAGACTAATAAGTTGTGATTATCATAAACTTATAAATGAATGCTAAATTAAAGAAACTAATAGGTTTATGAATGTGATTTTAACATTGAACTTGAAATGGTGTAAAACATCTAACTGCTATTAAAGATCACTGATGATGTGTTGGAGGTAGATAGTAGGTGAGAGGTTAGGGGTAAAATGGGGACTAACGGAAAAGCAGAGACGACCAAGACCTTATTAGGAGATAGCTTGTTGAACAACTTAAATGTGTCAGAGACATGGGAGGAACGTTGAGCAACCCTGAGACATTAGCCAAGACATCAGGACAAAATGTCTCTAAGACAGTGATGGAGATGAGTTCATCTGTCCAAACAGTTACCCAATAAAGCAAGCACAGCAACAGTGTTAGCCAATGAAAATGCACTGAAAGCGGGTATAAACCCTATATAAGGGGAGAGCAAAAGAGGAATCTTTGGTTGGATCCTCCAGGCAGCTTCGAGCCAAGACCGAGATGGACAAAGAACTCTGCAGCTGAAGAAGAGCCGGGGCCACAGGGACGAAGACTGTCCTGCGCACGGGGACCAACCCATCAGCCCCGCAACATGTGGCTTCAAATCGGACTTCTCTCATCGGCTGGGTTCAGACCCCAAGGACAAAGATAAAGACAAAGATGAAGATCAAGGCAAAGATGAAGATCAAGGCAAAGATGAAGATCAAGACAAAGACAAAGACCCAAGTCCTGTGTGACCTCATCATCCATGCAGAGATGACAGCTCATCAGACCAACAGAGATCCCTGCCTTCGTCAATCAACCTCCTCCGCCTGCTGCAACACCTTCTTCATCATCGAGCCAGTTCTGGGGTTGGAGACACCAAACTCCGTCCGTCTCTCTCAAAGGTTCCCTTTTTAGTTCTTAGTATCAGCGTTAGGGAAAGACAGGCTAGATGATTGATTTTACTTATTTGATTATTTCTGCTACTTAATTAAGCTGTACTGACCCTTGCAAAATTGCTTTACTAATAAAATATTTAGCATAAAGAAAATCTAAAAGATGTTGTGAACATTCAATTAATGAGTCACCTCAAAGTTCTTTGATGGTAGTAAAATAGCTGTGATGTTTGATTCTGGGGAAGAAAAGTAGGTCATGTTTTATAGGTTGCTTTAGCCCAAATTTAAAACTACATCCTTGGGACTCGCCCGAGTCACTAAAACTAACCTGATTCAGTAACAAGTGCAAGTTGTAAAAAAAGAGAAGGAGCGACCGTTAACAGATGTGCTCTGTGGAACTAGTTGGCTGTATGCTGCTCAGTCTGGCTAATTCACAGGGGGAAGAAGGGTGGGACATCTGGATGTAGGCCGTTAGTAGTCAGGCGAATCCTGTCTCGAAACCAGCTTAAACAGAGTTTACTTCAGTTCTGGATAGGGTAAATCCCAGCAGATTTAGGAAACTCAATTTACCCGTTAGATGGAGAGCTGGTAGCACATCTCCCCTCTCAGAAGAGGAAGTAGTGACTGAGAGAGTAGAGAGTGAAGGAAGAGGGGGTGGGGGGTGTAGCGGCAACAACGCTAGACAATACTAATTCAAGCTATCAGTAAAATCATTCTGTCTAGTCAAATGTTAATTCAGGATATCTCAAATAGAAAAGCTGTGTAATTAAAGATATCTAATTCATTTGGAGAGAGCTTAAAAGGAATTTTGACTTGTCAGAATTAGAATTCTAGATATCTCTAAGTTAGTTGTGCCTTATTGTCATTATTTACTTTTAAATGAAAAATGTAATTTTCACTAGTCATTGGACTGTGGTGAGCTCAGCAGATATGCAGTTCCACCAAGTGTTTGCTAATTGCTGCTGTTGCTAGTCTGAAGGAACTGAGTGAGGATGGTGCAGGAGAGAGATGCTCAGTGCTTCAGTTTGTTCCATATTGGTAAAATTAAAAGATTACTTTGGCACAGTTTTTCTCAGCGATACAGAGGACTCTATATTTCAGGTTTTCCAGACTAACTTATATTAGCCAAGTGTTTTAACAGGTGAGTTGCATATGGAAAAAAAATTCTGACCTTATTTTATGTCTCGTTGCTACGAATAAATATCAGAAACTGTTCATAGATGAAGACTATGATCACAAACATGACCACCAGTCTACAATGGAATACTGTAAAACAGAGAAACTGCTCAGTCCCGTTAAGTTCAGGACTAAATCTGATTGAAATTTTGTGTTTGAAGCCCTAATTGAGCACTGTCTGCAAACCTCCATGAACCAAAAGAACAATGCACAGGAAACCAGCTCAGATTTCCTCCACAACATGTGAAACACTGAAGTTGTGAAATTGTACAGAAAGCAAGTTCTGTGTTTTCACCATGACTGAACATGGGTCCATACGCAAACAGAAGGCATCACTTTTGGGGGACTGGTGGGTATAGAAATAACTCTACTGTTTAATTTAATTCATTTATCTTATCTGTTTTGCCAGATAAAGGAGGTGACAGATTTGTCTCTTACAGAAGGCATGGCGGAGGCTGGAGCCCACCTGACCTCCGTGGTTGTTAATGAACAGCCATCCATCTTTGAAGTGCTGGCCCAGGAGTCTCTGATGGAGGCTGTCAGACCTGCTCTGAGACATGCAGTCAAGGTGAGGCTACCTGTTGGTACCACGCTATGTGAAGCTTTTCTTTTCTTCTTACCCTGCTGCTCCAACTGTCTCAGGTTCTAGCTGAATCCAACCCGTCCCACTTTGGATTTATTTGGAAATGCTTCGATGAGCTCTACCTGCTGCTGGATGTCCTCCTGCAGAACCACTTCCTGTCCCAGTGCAGCGCCTCCTTCTCTGAGAACTTCTATGGACTCAAGAGAGTCTCAGGTGGGCGTAGCCTTCCTGCTCACCTGGGCTTGCACAAGAGTTCCCATTGGCGGTCCCTGCTGCTCTTGTGCCTGGTGCCCTACCTGCAGGCCAAGCTGCAGGTGATGTTGGCCCGGCAGAGAGAGGAGGAAGATTTCTCCATCAGGCTGCCACAGACCAGGAAGCAGAGGTTGTACAGAGCAGTGGTGGCAGCATACCCATATGTCAGCTCGGCCTGGCAGTCCTGGATCTTCTGCCAGCAATTGCTTTTTGTTTTCGGAGTCAGCAGAACACACAGTCCCCTGCTGCGGCTGGCCAATGTCAGACTGGCACGGCTCACCACACATGACCTCAGAGATTCACAGCAGAAAATCAGATGCAGGCCCAGGCCGGCTGATGGCAGGTTGGTGAACTATTCAGGATTTTCAGGAGTAGGGCTGGGTGTTATGGAGATTGAATTTTATCACAACATTTTGAGGTACAGTTGTGATAACAATAACAATTCTGATAAACTGTTACTTCTATTTTAGATCTCTGTATGCCTGGCACTGATGGCACAGCATTCATAGCACTAAAAACACAAACATTGGAAAAACATTCCCATTTTAACCAGTCTTTTTCTGGACACTACCTACTGAAAGAAGTGTGATGTATATCACAAAATTGTTTTTAATCATATAAATCTACTGATATTTATTTTTAGTCCTGTGGAAGAAACAGTAAAACCGAACACTTGCCCTAATACTGTCAGTTTTCTTTTCTATTTAACATTTTCAATTGAAATGTTTTGAGAAACAATCAAAACTCTTTTATAATAAAATTTTCACCATAAATTATAAAACAATAAATGCCCACCTAAGCAGGAGGGAAAGGGTATGCCGCTGGCAGAGGAAGAAAATTTTTCACACAACAAATAAAACTTGAAAAAAGACAGAATATAGATATTTACAGAGGGATTCCTTCACATTCTGGAAAAGAGCTGAACCATTAAACAAGTATCGTTGTTTGAAGAAGTACAGCAAATGCTTCTTTATTTTCAGAAAAAAGGTGCACTGCACTCAGTTTCTGCAGATCTTAGGTTAGAATCCTGGCCTGCAGGCCAAGCTGGAGGTGATGCTGGCACAATCCTGACACAAGGTGTCAGAACCAAACTAAGCAATTTTTATGAGAACAAAGTCACAATATTAGCAGAAGAAAGTCATGAACCTACTACAAAAACTTGTTTGAGTGAGAGCAAAGCTTTGACACTTATCAGGATGTTAAGGTGAGCAGCTCTTTTCATGGTTCTTTCTTCTAAACAGACTCAGTCGTTGGCTCAATTAATTTAAAGCAGGGGTGCTCAAGTCCAGTCCTCGAGAGCTACCATCCTGCAACTATGAGATGCATCCCTGCTCCAACACACCTGAATCAAATGAATGGCTCATTACCAGACCTGTTCAGAGCTGATCTCGGTCTGCTGGAGTAAAGCTGCATCTAAAAGTTGCAGGACAGTAAGTAGCTCTCGAGGACTGGACTTGAGAACCCCTGATTTAAAGTCCTGCTACTTAAAATAATGTGATGCTAATGTGTTAAAAGATTACGTATGTCCTTATCTCTAAAACTGATACCACTGTATAATTTCACAAGATGCTCAGCATTCTTCTTTTTAATTTGTTATTGTGTAGGAGTCAACATAAAATTACTGCTTCATTTGACTAAGACTTCATTCTAGTTTATTGCAATATTATGACTTTTTTCTTGTGAAATTATTAATTTAAATGCAATATTATGATTCATACTTGTAATTTTTGTGCAACTTTCTTCTCTCATTAATATGACTTCATTCCCCCACTTGATTTCTTTTCTTTACTTTGACCCTAATTCCCAGTCATAGGTGATGGTGTACTCGAAACCCTGGGAATGGACAAATGTGGCGTCAGTTTCAGTGTTCAAAGGGAACAGTACAAAACATACGTGTTGTTCTGCTGTTTCAGGGCCGTTTGTGAGGACAGGTCATATTTTTATATTATTGGTAATCAAGGAAACGAAGCTTCAGGATTTTCTTTAGCACTTATTATTATTATTATTATTATTAGTTATATAAAAAGATTCTAGTTCCAGATTTCTTGATGAACACAACTTGAACATAATATGTATATCTGAATGGAGAACAGAGAAACATCATGCTTTTCCTGTGGTTGCAGACTGATGCAGAGAGCATGGTGGCTCATGTCTCGGGCAGCGCAAGGTGTGGCCGTCTCCCTCTCCACCTCCCTGTCTCTGGGCGTCTTCTTCCTGCAGTTCCTGGAGTGGTGGTATTCCTCGGAAAACCAGAGCACAGTTAAAACCATCACTTCCCTGCCTGCACCTCCTCCCCCGCTCCATCTGCAGGAGGATGTCCAACCAACAGCAGATGAGAAGAACTGCCCGCTATGCCGAAAGCACCGGGCCAACTCCACAGTGCTGTCCACATCTGGCTTTGTCTTCTGTTACTGCTGCATTTACACTTATGTGAAGGCTAACCACTGCTGCCCACTCACTGGATTCCCCACAGAACTGCAACACCTCATCAAGATATATGAGTCCGAGAGCTAAAAGTTCTCTGGAGGTCATTTCAGATGTTTCCCATCTTTTGGAGAAATGTGACCTCATTGTTTACTGCATTCGTGTGCAGGCTTTTATCAACAGTTCTTTGTGAAGAGTGAAAATAGTATTTTGCTTTGCAAAAGTTGATTTTAAAGTTGATAAATTATGATATAAGTCTGATTTTAATGGCTTACACTTACATTTAATTTTGTTTATTTATGCAGCACCGATTCATAACCAATGTGAATTATTATAACTTACTTTTTTAATCCCTTAACTGTAATTACAAACAAAAAAAACACACTTGCAAGTCAAGCCATATCAGTTGCTGCATAATTTACATACTTTTCTGAATAATTTTAACTTAGCTTAAAATAGCATTTACAATGTGAATTAACTTTAGTTTTGGCATATAATTAAATTCCCTGTTTAAATCACATGTTTAAAAAAAGTTATTTTTATCATAAATATACCTTTTGTCTCATCAGAGGGCACTGTGTTTCTTATCACTGGGGAATGAGTGAGAGCTGCTGCTGACTGACTCTTCTGGGGCAAAGGTACAGGGGACAAGTTAAATATGTGGTAATTATTTTCCTTCACTGATTAAATGTTGGTGAAATGGAGGCCAACAATAATCTGGTTAAGCTAACTATGCTAAATGGTTGATGATCCCACACAGTCTACCTATATCTACATTTTTTGTGGGTGCGGAATAGAAAGTTGTTTTGGACCGCTCTTATTTTCTTTAGATATAGAATGATTTTTAAAACAAAAGTTTTCTTCTCAGGCTAGATGGGGGAAAAAAAAAATATGTCAAAGTTCCTTATGAATTTCTTGTAACATTTGCTCTGTAAAGTCACAATATTCACAGCTTTTTTAAGGACGTTTTAATTCCATTAGTCTTTTTATTTTTCACAAGTCTGGAGCAAGCTAGCTGCACAGCATAATCTGCCATGGTGTCACCGCTTTTGTGAAACGGAATCGACGCTTAATTAAGCCATGATGGCCAAAAAATCATGGTTTAATCCACTATCCTGGTTTTGTAAAACACCTGGATGAGAAGACAATCGATTGTCTATTGTTTGGACATGGTTTGGTCACTATAGAAGGCTCGTCCTGTTATGGTATTGAGGCCTCAGCCTCTTCCCTGAAAAGGGAATTTAACATTAAATGACGTCATGAATCACAGTCTGTCTGCATGGAGAAACACAGAGTCCTGATTTTGAACAAAACGTAAAAGTACGAAATAGTCTGTGATATTCATCAACACTGGGCTGGATTGTGCAGACTGGGAACAGATTGGGGGCAGCAAACGTGCATGTAAGAAAATGCTTAGAAAATAAATATTAGGGTTTGAGTTTGAAAAATATATATTTATTTTGGAAATTATATACATTGGAACTAAATAGTGAACTAATTGTTTTTGCTCAGACTTAAAACATTTGGGAACTAAATATTTTGTCTCCTAATTAGTTTGCAATATTTGGGAAGCCCAAATATTGGTGTAAATGTTTTACTGTGTAACTTTACAAACGACACCCCATAGAAACATGAACAGGCATGATTTTGCAAATGGTTTATTAAAATAAAGTTGCACCAAACCTAACAGAAGTCTGTTAGGTTTTTTGAGGATGTCAGAGATTACAAAACTCGTGCTGCCAAGTTCTGAAATGGTGATTGACAACAAACATAATCAACTCCTATAAAAAGAATCAAACCGTAGGCAGTGGATATGTTTACATTTGAACAAGCAGCCTGTTTCTGATCAAAATAGTCAGTTGTCCTTTTTCTCACTAATGTATTTCTGTTCCAATATCAGCAAATGACAGACATTTCTTGATATTGGGAATATCAGGGAAGTTTATTAAAAGCTTCCAGTCATGAAATAAAGTTTAGAGTCTGGAGTGAAGCAGGGTGTGACTGAAAATCTCTAGCATGCATCAGTAACTCATAGTAATACTGAAAACCTACAACATAACTGATAGATTTATCAACCGATCACAGGCCCTAATCACTGATAGGCTTCTTTACATAAATAATCTTCAGATAATGAAGCCATATATTTTGTACATAAAGTATGTTTTGGAAGTTCGATGTGATGTTTGCCGATGAGTAAAATTGATGCACTTCTAGACTAGAATTGCATCCAACAATGACTATTAATGGCTTTAGGTAATCAGACTAAGGTTAGATACATATAACCATGATGGCAGACACATTGCATGTAGACATCTCAACAGTTGAAAATATTCGACTTGACGTCTGAGTTTCAAAAATGGAAATTGTACAACTTTTGAAACAGAAATTACAAAGTTTATTTTAGGAAATATCTGAGGATGTCAGAAATTACAAAAACTGCAGGAGTTTCTGTCAAAAAATTTAATTTTAGAGCTCAGAAATTTTGTAGTTTCTTCTAAATTTCTGAGATGAGTCTTTAAATTGCTGACGTTTTTGGGTGAACCCCACCCTTCCAAAAAAAAAGCACCACCATATGTACCTCTTTATACTCTGTCATTCAAAAACATCCACTAAAGAATCTGAAGCATATTTTTCCTCCTTTGTCTCAGTCATTAGAAAACAAAATCAAAATTGGTCCATATCTGAACTGGCAGGGCAGATGTCAGAGGAAATTAGAAATCTGCAGACCACAAAAGGTCTGGTTGATGCACCTCTACCGTAAAAGGTTGGGAATCTTTTAGGTCATGAACACAGAATGAGGGAAGAAAACCAGCTGTTTATTCACTTTATTTGTTAAAAAGAGCAGCAGCCAAAAACAATACAAAACAAGAGAAAGAAAAACTTTATTTTGGCCTTGATTTCCACCCATTTGCTTTTGGACGGTAACGTCTCGCTATAACAGATCTGCAGGCTGCTGAGGAACGCGTCATTAACAATTGGGCAATTTGTATGGATGCAAATTTTACATGTGTAAACTACAAGACCTGGAAGCAGAACCCAGAAGGACACTGAGGCCAGGGACCAGGCAGAGCGTGACTACTGCACAAGGAATCACCACATCAATTTTCTTGAAACGTAAAGATGTGGAAATGTATAATACTATGAAAAATTATGTTTTTAAAAGGTTGCTGCACGGGAGCTTTTACTAGAGAACATCCTCCCAGTGAACCTGTATACTGTTACTGCTAATAAAGACTAACACAAAGGGGGGTGCAGGGGGCTTCCTTAACGCATCTTGTACTCCAAAGTCTTTGACATCTCACACAGCTGACCCCTGAAGTCTACATCAACAGCAAAGTCCAGGTCCCTCTGCAAGAAAGTACACGGGTCAGAATTAGGGAGACTAAGTGGAAGGTGGTAGAGCAGGACCTGCTTCATCCACTTACATTGTTCTTGACGTTTGGCTTCATGCTTAAGGTGCCGAAGATTTCTTCTCCGGTCTTTACGGTCAGGTAGTCGTCCAAGTAAAAAACTGTCTGCTTCCAGTGGGTGTAAGGAGACTCTGGGCCTGGAAGCACAAAGATAAACCACCTGAACATTACCTACTGGAAACTCAAAAAGAAATTTTTCCCCAATTGTGAATGCTTCTTGTGTTAGCGCCTAAAGTCTGGTGTCAGCTATAGATGCAGGGGGGAAAAAATTAAGATGATTTAGAGAATCACAATTCCTGGGAATTCTGAATCAATTCAAAATGATCAAGAATCGATTATTCTAATTACTTTGTAAAATTATAGTGTCTTGGGTAAGTTGAAGAAATTTGAAACAGCAGGGAACTTTCTAAATGAATGGGTATTTGTTTACTGATGTTTTTTGAAGGTATTTGCTACTTTAAATTAACATTTGTTATCATTGTGACTATATTTGGGGCAACTGGCTCTGTGGGTAGAATAGTCATCTTGTGATTGCAAGGTTTTAGGTTCAACTTCAACTTCCTCCTGCCACAAGTTGTTATACCTCTGGGCATTGCTTACTGATCTGCGTATATAACGTGTGAGTATTATGAGTGCAAATGGGTGAATGCGACTCTAGTGTAAAGTGAATTGAGTGGTCAAAATGACTGTACATTAGTTCAGTCCGTTTACACAAAACAGAGTAGGGTGTTTTTGCTAATTTATTGCAAATGAATTCAATATTGTGAGTGAATTATATACTTTTGTGAGGGAACACAAAAGAAAAAAAATCCCCCATGTCTCCTAGGGTGCTCCGTACAACAGAATACCCCTGAAATATTATTTTAAACCAACAAGAGAAAAATATATTTATTTTGCACTGATGGTTCTTCTGACACCGAGTTGCTCAGTCTGAACCAGAGCTGGTGCTGCTGCTTGTAGGAAATCTGTGTGATTGGGTCCTAATTCAAGTAAGAGAAAAGCTCACTGACTGGTGGAGAAGCCGATCCTCTTGTGGCAGCGAGTGAACTCTATGTTGAAGTAGGTGACCAGAGCGTGGATGTAGTCGTTCCTCTTCACTTGCAGGCAGAACGGTGAGGTGAAGGTCAGGTCCTCCGCCTTCACTGTGTAAATGTCAACCTCCTAAACACACACACACAGAACAAATAGTACCCGACACATCCTCTGACCACTTGTTCGACTACGGACGTGTCCATGTCCACTCACCCTGATAAGACAGGAATTGGTGACCAGCTGCTTGGGGTCCACCACGTCCACCAGGGGTTCCTTTATTGCCACCTCCTTGATGCAGGACATGTCAAATCCGTACACATTCTCCCACCCTGAGAAGGAAGCAGGTGACATCAAGCAAAGCTGTTTCAACCCTGACACGACTCCACAAACTTACGAGTAAACAAAAAAAAAGTGACCAATAGACCAGGAAGTAAAAGAACATCCTGGTCTCTTTCTCCTCTAAGAAAGAGAAAGAACAGAAGATGTATGAAAATATCAGCAGACCTTTGAGCCTTCAAGAGATAGAAAAACCAGCAGCTTGCTTGGAACACAAGAGTATAGCAAAGAATTCAAACTTAAGATGAGGAAGGGTATTAATACATGGTCTGTGTTTGTAATATTACTTCAAGTCAGAAGTAAAAAAGTACTCAATTTAGTAATGAGATTACTTTCTTCTGGGGATTCTCTAATCAGGTTTTATCCTATTGATCACCGATACCGATCACACAGATTGGCTTTTTAATTGTTTGAGAAATGCTACTGGCCGTGTGATCTGGCAAAAAAGAAACCTCAGTCACCTGAATTTTGACAACAAAAAAGAACTTGGGCAACAATGCAGCAAGACAACTGAAATCCTGCCTGTAAGACTCTTCTCAGTCTAAAGTCAAATAAATTTCAACACTGTCCATATTTAAATAATGGTAATTTTAAAAAAAGGAAACACTCCCAAGTCAAATCCAGGTTGCATTGTTGATAGCTAAATTCTGTGCAAGAGGAAATAATGTTGTACAGTCAAAAATATACCCTCTATTAAAATAATTTTTAAACAAATAAAAATAATAAATCAGGGCTTCCTCCCCCATGCCCAAGAGGGGAACAGGGGGTGTACATCTGGTTACTCCAGGAAGGTTCGAGTTCTGGAATACGACAGCGCTGGAAGATAACATGTTCCTAGTGGCTTCACGTATGATTAATTGTGTATAATTGTGCAGAGATCTCAGAAAATAAGCTTTCACAGAGGTACAGGTGAAGCTGCTGCACTAACGTCTCTCAAATGACCAAATTTGAATGAAAGATGGTGTGTGTGATGTCTGTGCCGAGGTTCAACACTTCAGAGGTGCAGACTGGGCACAAGACTGTCATCAAAGATGGGATGTCTGCAGAGGCTGAATGGGTCAGCCATTACTACAAAAAAGCACTACAACCTTTTGATTTTAGAGTTTCTTTTTTATTTTCTTGGTCTGCGAGTACTTTTGACTGAACAATTTTGACCTATGTGGCAAAAAATGTAGACACTCCTGATCTAAAAAGCACATCTTCTTGCACATTTACTGTGGCTGAGATAGAATGAATGTTGAAGTTTGATTGTTTCTGCCATTTCCCAGACTACATGCAGACACCAGAGACAGAGACCATTAAGTCTATCACGATAAATAAATCAATTAATCGCACGATAAATTAAAATGAGGTACATAATAAAATTAGGGCGATACTATTGCTTGCTTTGTTTGTTTTCGTTGTACGTCTCTTTCTACCAAAGAGACTGGTTGACAAAATAGTTAGTCCCTCCCCTCTCATTTCCTTGGTAACAGCTAAACACACGGAGTTAAAAGCCTCAGTTTTCCTCCACTCAGGCTGACAGCGAAAACAACAAATGAACAATTTTCAACTTTCTTGTGTGGCAACACTAGCTGGCATGTGCATGTCTGCAGGTATGAGCTCAAAATTTCACACCAACAAATTACGTTGTTCGCTCACCGTTGCCTCACTGCACAAGCTCGCTCCATATAAATTAATGGAGACGGAGCAGCACTGTCTCGCATCACCGTGTGACTAGGAGTCTGTCGGGAGCCTGTCAGTTATTTTCGCTCTGGTCTCCAATCACAGAGCGAAGCACAACACTCAGTGAGGAGAAGCACTTTGGATTCAAACTGAATGACTGTGGTGAACCACTGAACCAGCTATGTTGTAAAACAGTAGCAACTAAAAAATCCAACCAACATATCTGCACATAAAATGTCCCGATGTTAGTTTACTTTCTTGGGGACCATCTTGTTGACACAATCACTGAGGTGAAGTGGCATTTCTGATATGGGTGACATGGTCAACCACACGTGGCATTTTGTGGGGGAGAGACCACTCAACACCCCTGCCATCAACCGGATGATCTGAAAGTGAACAATGTAATCCCTTTAAAGCCCCCTCCCAATTATTTATATTTAAAAGGTCTTCCACTTCCTGTTAAATGTTCTTTTGAAATCAGTTTATTGACCTCTGAGAGGGGCCTATTTGCAGTGTTAGACTATTTATGCCATTCGTTAACAATGGCCTGTAAGTGGCAATATTGTTTTTGTTTATTGCAATAATTTCTTGGACAATTTATCGGCCACCAGAATTTGTTATTGTGACAGGTATGAGGAGAGAAAGCTGGAAGCAGTCACTCACAGTGGATTTTGTAATCTTTGTACTGCCTGTCTTCAATAGCAGTGACATATAGTGTGGCTCTGTCTGGAAAAATCAGTCCATCTGGTTTCTGTTGGAGAGGTACAGTAGAAAAAAACACACAGACATTAAGACCATCATTCTAAATGATACATTTAATACACTATCATCAGAAACTATCCTGATTTGGGCCAAATGCAGTTATCCATTCAGTTCAAAGGAAAACTACCTACTACACCAAAAATAATTTATCAAAGCCTGAAACGATTACTCAGATCCATCTCCTGATGAGCCGGTCTTGTAAATGTGCTAGTTTTTTTTTTATCCAAATTAATTAATCCATAGACTAAACAATATTTTTAGTTGCAATCCTGTCACTACAGTCCAAAATGGAGCCACAACAGGCTCTTTGGACCTTCCACAATGGCTCTTAAAAACAATAAAGAAACATGTTTTGCAACTAGAAAATAAATAAATCTACTACTCCATAAAAATGCTTTTTTTAATGGAGTAGTATATTTTAGCTATTTCTATTTTATGAAATAACTACATTTGATTTTCACACAGAATGACTTAAAAGTACCTGTCATTTTTAGATCTATTTTCTTATTATATTGGAAACTGCGCAAAATGTAGGAAAATGTAGCCATCACCTTTTTGAAAACATTTTCAGTTTTTATTATATTAAAACCTAAGAACAGAAATTAAAAATTACAAAAAATTCACTGCAGTAGCCCTCATCTACAAAAATTAATGTATAGTGTAGTGTTTTCCCCCAAAAGGTCAGATAATTGTGGATCTAAATCCATTTTATTTAGTTGAATTGAGGGTACATCAACCTAACCACAGCATCGTGATCAACCAGACTAATTAAAGGCCCAACATGCATGCAACTTGCTGGGGATAAATAAGTTTCTTAAAGAAGCATAATCTGGATTTTGTCCTTTTTATCTTGGACATTACTCTGTTGCTTTTAACAAGATTAACAAGACCTTTAATATTCCATGAAGCTGCTCTAATATTACCATTAGTCATACCAGCTAGGCTATGCTGACAGTTCAAACACAGAAACAGCAAAAACTTAGAGATCACAACACAAACAAGAGGACTTCCATCCTCAGGGTTCTACTCTGTCCCATCATCCAATTTTCTCTCATTGTAGGAGGAACAGCCCGAATAAGGGCTCCTTATGCAACAGGTTCTAAAATAAATTTGTAATTCAGAATGTTTATGTCTCTGCTTAAAAAAAGAAATGTTTTGTGTCAATTCAGCACTGACTTTCTGAATTGGCTTGGTATCCGCCGATACCTGAAACTCATATCTATATTGGTAATGGAAATGGAAAAAAAGTGGGTCAGCACATCCTTAGTTAAAACTTTCAATTAGCAACATCTCCACCAATACATACCAGCCATTTGTCTCTGGCATAAATGACTGTATTGAGCATGGACTCGTAAAAGAGGCAGTATCCCATCCACTCCGAGATGATAATATCAACTCCTTCCACAGGCAGCTCCACTTCCTCCACCTTCCCCTTAATGATGGTCACAACTGCAGGGAAAAGAGCACAGATTGGACCCTTGACTCCTCCTTATTCTGAGTCCTGCTGGTTTCCATGGACTCACCATCATCCAGATTGTTGGCCTTCACAATTTTCACAGCATAGTCTGAAATGCTACTGCACTCTATCTGGAAAAACAAAGTCCAAGCATACAGTTAACCTGGAGAGCCAGACAAGTGGAGCGGCTGAAGTGGAACTGAATGCATACCCCTATGACTTTCTTGGCTCCAGCTTTGGCTGCAAACATGCAGAGGATGCCCGTTCCACTGCCAACATCCAGAACCACCTTGTCCTTGAACAAGTGCTTGTTGTGGAACATGGAGTTGCGGTAAGTCAAAGTGCGAACCTCGTCTTTCAGCATCTCCTGCAGAGACGGGAGCAGAGCACAGGTTGGAAGGCAAAAAACATAAATAAATGAAGATTGTTGTGTAAATAAAAACTGAAAAATTACCTCGTGAATTCCAAAATGGGCATAAGAGTCAAAGTAGTAGTCCTTTGATGTCATGTCCTCTGCTGCAGGTTTGACTGAACTCTCCCCCTGAGAAACCTCAACAAAGGGAAACACAGTCACTGGCTGAAGCTGGCAGAAAGGATCAATAAGCAATATGTAAAATGCATACATTAAAATTAGCTCATTCTATATTCTGATGATCAGTATTTTTGAAGGCTTAATTTGTTTACAGAAGCTTCATAATCAGTTTCACTTATGATTTTGTTGATTTCTTTTGTGTTAAAAATCAATTTCATACTGGAACTTGAGAAATCACATTAATTGTTGATCATTTAAATTTTAAGAAAACCCTTTAAAAATCTAGAATAGATAAAAGAATATTGAATTGATGGAATGGATGAAGTTATCGTGAAAGTAAAGATTGTTTGTTTTTAATTTATTTCTGTAAAATGCTAAATTGTTGAGGATGATCTGAATTGAAAAGGTCTGGCTTTACAAACAACCTACTTATATAATAATGACAGCTTTTTTTCTTGAAAAAGATTCATTCTGAGATTATTCAATCCACACATTCAGAAAAATAACATGAGAGATAAAGATGTAGGACATTCTGGTTGGCATCTCATCGTGGTGGAAGGGTCTGAGTGTCCCAGTAACTACGCTGCCTGGGGGCTTCATGCCCCTGGTAGGGTCACCCACTAATGATGAGTAAAGTTGTTGTGTTCCCTCGCCGGGACATGGGTCACCGGAACCACACTCTGAAGCCAGGCTGGGCATAGCCCATAGAGACATGGATCCCCCTTCATTGGGCTCTCTCCCCGTGAGAGGGGCCAAAAGGAAGAGGTCGGGTGCAGTGTGGGATGGGTGGAAGTAGGCTTGTCGCGATAAACGATAAATCAATTAATTGCACGATAAATTAAAACTATCGACCTCATTTCAATTATCGGTTATATCGTTTCTTCCGGCCTTTATTTCTCTTACTGTTGATGACACTGAATGAAAAAAGGCTCAACTTCGGTGCTCTCCACTGACCCTCCCTTCCTCATTTCCTTAGTGTAATGCCCAGTGCGCGCTGCACCATCTTCTGTTGCTGATTGTCGGCCCATTATCAAAACCTGAGAGACACATTAGCCGACAGAAATCATCGGTGTAATGGTTCGATCGAAACCGTGTGGTGTACAACAATGGACACAAAATAATAAGTCCAGTTCACTACTTTTGAAACCAGGCATTAATCAATTCCTTGATACAATCTATCTGCCTGCAATGCATGTGACTACTGTCAGTCCTGACTGAATGAAAATCAGTATAACCATTTTATGTCACGTTAACGCAGAACAGCTGAAAAGTTCCCAGGTTTTCTGGTAGAAATTTCGCTCCAACTCCTCCCCTAGTTATTTATACTTTCTTTGCAGGAACTGTTGGTTAAACATTAATGTTTCAAAGCATCATCTGCGATGTCTGCTAGACTTCGGGTTGCATCGTGTCAGCTATTCGGGATTTCCTCCGTGTTTCCCCTCAGAAAGCGCAAGGAGAATCCGCGCTTTCTGATTGGCTACCGGTCACATTCAACAAGCTGCTAAGCTCCCAGTCTGGGCAAATCCTTGATTTAAATTGGAGCGGCCACGACGATACACCGTAACACACACACAAGTGACAATCGCAGAACGAAGAACATTCTAAGATTGTCGTTCGGGGTAAAAATATCCTGTAGTTTGAACTATTGCGTCAGGCAGTCGGATGTCTTCTCTATTAAAATCTAATGATTACTGAAGGGCAATATACAATACAGACTTCATCATCTGCACTCTTTTGGTTGAATGGAGTATTTATTTCCACTTTGGCTTTATGTTGTTTAGATTTTATTCAAGTACATGTATTGTTAATGGAGACTGAGAATCTATTTTATTTTTGGTTTTGATTGTTTTATTTATTTTGTGTATCAATCCCAGTGTTAAGTGTTCTTTTGACAGTAAAGTGTATCTATTTTTGGAAATCGCATGTATTATTACGTAATTTTCATTAAATCAATGTAAAAAGGTCTTCAAACAATATTATCGTTTATCGCAATAATTTTTGAGACAATTTATCGCCCAGCAAAATCTGTATTGTGACAGGCCTAGGTGGAAGCTGAGTGTGGGGACCTTTGCCGACCTCGGTTGCAGAAGCTAGCTATTGGGACATGGAATGTCATTTCTGTGGTGGGGAAGGAGCCTTAACTGGTGTGTGAGGTTGAGAAGTTCTACCGAGAAATAGTCAGCCTCAACTCAACACATGGCTCTGGTTCTGCAACCAGTCTCCTTGAGACTGGTTGCAGACTGGTTTAATGTTTTAACCCTCTCAGGGTCAAATTACTTGCAAAGACTAGCTAAGTAGCACTGAGCTGTTGCAAATCTGCAACATCTGCTTGGAGAGTGTTAATGTATCTGTGCTGAAACCATTAAATCCAATTTAACAGTATTGACATTCTCAGAAGACAAATGTTAAATTTCTGTATATGTGGTCTGTGTTAAAATTTAGCATTTCTGGTGTGCCTTGCCTTATAAACAGCTGTTTAGTTCATTTATGCCTTGGGCCAGTTGTAAATGTGAGTAGCATTACATCATGTTCTTAAGTCCACCTAAAAACATGATGACTTAATTTGGATTTAACAGACAAGCAAATAATTTATGTTTATTTTAAACCAAAAATACATGATAAAAAAATTCATTAAATGTAGTTGACTTGATAAGTAAAAGACAGTTTTACGCAAAATAGATTTTGAATTTAAAATTCATTTCAGCTGCTTTACTTTGGAGTTTTGGTGTCAAATTCCAGTCCTCTAGGGCCATGACCTGCAGTGTTAAGATGTGCCACAGGTACAAAACACTGGAATTAAATAGCTTAATTACCTCCTTCCTGTGAAGATCAGTTCTCCAGAGCCTTGCTCATGACTCAATTATTCTATTGAGGTGTGGTGCAGCAGAGGCACATCTAAAAGTTGCAGGACACAGCCCTTGAGGACTGGAGTTTGACACCTGTGCCTTAGTAAGGGAGTTAAGATCGCACAACAAGGAGCTGCTGACTCAATTTGGATTTAACAGAAATGCAAATTATTTATTTATTTTAATTGGGTTTTTTATTATTATTATTTGTTGTTTTTAAGATTCTAAAATTGAAGGCTTACGAATTGTCGGCAAAGTATTCCAGTAACATAATTACCCAGTAATATTTTCAACTTTCGTGTCAACTTGACACCTTAATACATAAACACGGTGGACCGAATCAGTACCCCGACGTTCGGAACTAGTAAGTTTTCTGAGGGGAACCATGCAGGTCTAACAACCGCGGATGGGAAGAGGGGAGGTCTCAAGACCTCCCATGCCTGCTCTTTCCAGTTATTAGCGTTGAGTACTTCGAACACCGGCGAACTTTTCTCTGAACTTAATTGTTACGCTCAGAAAAATGTGCTTAAGGAAAACCGGGAAAATTCCCAGGAGAAGAGTAAATGTGTTCGCTGAATTGTGTGGGCTTTGGTTCCCAGGTGAATGAAGAACCAGCGGAAATGAACGCAGCATCCCTTTATAAGCGGCTAGCTCAACTAGCTCCAGATGCTAACACGTTGGAGCCCATGCGGTCCAACCGGTTGAGGCAGCATACCACATGGGGGGGGGGGGGAATCATCCGCTCTTGTGCGGTTAACTTACATTAACCGCTCAATAAAAAAAACACCCCATTGAGTGTATACTTGTATTTTTTTAATCTTTTTCAATTGCGACAGAAATGAATGACTAAAGGCATCATTATTAAACCTTGACGCTGATATAAAATGGACGCTTTGCTGCTCGTTAACTACGAGGCCGAATCTGAAAACAAGTAGAGACCGAGACATATATTCCTAATTCTGTTGTGAACTAAGGTATAGTGTGAGTGAATCTAACAGAGCTGTGAAAGTCAGTTGTCGTGTTTACTCCGCTAAGATCTTACCTCCATCCTCTCTGCTGGCGCGGCCATTTCGATCTTCTGCTGAACGTAGTTGACTTCTTCCTCGACTACTTCCCTTTCATCCAAACAGTTCCAACCGTACTCTTTAGGAGCTTACTGACATCTACCGGCAGTTCTCCGCTTAACAACCATAGAAGGAAGAAAGAAAGGCTTATCCTTGCTGCAATTTCTGAGGAGCGTGATACTGTGTTTGATTGTGTAATAAATTAAATATGTGAGCCAAGGTTTATGCTCTTACTTGGTTTCTGAGAGCCTCTTAGAATTGTGATGTTGATTACTAACTGACACCACCATTGGTAAAACTTGTTCTCTTGTACTTGTTAAATTGAAAAAAACAACCCATACCCTTTTAATGTGAACTTTTTTTTAAATCAAATTATATAAAGGTCACATTCCAGACCCAGTGAATTTTTCCATTATCTTAATCTGTGTTTAAAATCTATTAACAGTGTCTTTGTACAGCACTTTGGTGCAGTTTTAACATTGTATATGTTTCTCTATGAAGAGCTTGGAAAATGCACACATTCACATATAATTAATTTTAACATCTAACAAGATGTTTATTCTGTACCTTCAGCTGTTTTCTGTTGGAAAAGGGGACAGGCGTATTATCAGAAACTTTTGATAAACAACAAAATGAAAGATGTCTCCTTTAAACAGTTGGACAGAATTTGTTGTACTAATTCTCAGAACCAGAATCAAAAATGGAGAAGCAAACAGCATTCAGTTTTATCCTCCTCTAATCTGAAACACTTTCCAGAAGACTGCTAATCAGCTGAAACATTGAGTCCCTATAAATCAAGGCTAAAATTCCATTTGTATGGAGTTGCCTTTGATTAATAATTGGAACATTGATTAATTCTTTCCTGACGATTATGATGGCATAATGGCAATGTTATGATGGCAATGTTGGCATTTAAAAGCATGCAATGTTTGTTGTTTTTTTGCCATTTCAGGTTGTCAACTTAATTGTTTATTGTGTCCTGTCTTTGTCATGGAAAGCACTTTGAACTGATCGGAGCAAATCTCATCTACTTCTGGGGCCTTGCCACCAAGGACCTCTTTAAGGACCTCGGTGACCTCATCGCCAGAGATTAGACAACTTGTTCCAGAGTACCCAGGATCCGCTTCCTCAGTGGAAGGCGTGTTGGTGGGATTGAGGAGGCATTCAAAGTATTCTTCTTACTGGCCCACAACATCCTGAGGTGTGGTCAGAAGGACATCCCCTCCTGAGATGCTCCTAAATCACCTTGAAGCCGTGTAGAAGTCTTTCACTTAGCCTCTCCGAACTCTTCCCATGTCAGAGTTGTTGCCTCAACAACCACCCAAGCTGAATGCCACTTGAACTGGTGGCACCCATCAGCTGCTTCTGGGGTCCGACAGGCCAAACAGACCTGATCAGACTCCTTCTTCAGCCTGACAGCATCCCTCATCAAAGGTGTTCACTCGAGGGTTAGCGAGTGGATTGGCGCCAACCAATCCACTCATGGGCGCCACGACAGGCATAGACAGCCTTGAAGAAGTGGGGAACAGATCCTGAAAAGGTGCCATGGTTGAGAGTGGACAATATACCAAGGGCATTCTGTCTCTGCAAGTGGGATGCCCTCTCTTCTACTTTTTAATTTACACGTATGTATCATTTAAATAAATTTTGAATATTTGATCCATCCATTGGCTATATCTGCTTATTCTTGCAGGGCTGCAGGGGGCTGGTGTCTATCGATAGCAGTCTGTTTTTAAGTTACTTTATGTTGGCATGCAAGCAAGATTTTTAACAGGGGGATAGGTCATGTTCAAGGCTTCTTTAACTCTTCCATGTCTTATCACAATCCTCAGGAGCACAGAAAATGTTGCAGTCAGACAGCAGGAAAGTGGGGTTGTTGTCCTGTTAGACCAGAGGTGTCAAACTCAAATACACAGTGAGCCAAAACTTTAAATTGAACAAAGTCGCGGGCCAAGGTTGAACAAATGAATCTTTTGATATGGACCCAAACTAGTTCTAATATAACAATAAATATTGAACAAGCAAAGCTTATCTAACTTAAAAGTTGTGAAGTGCACAATTCAGAGACTGAGATCCAGACAAAAGTTAGGGAGCAAAAACAATCTTTAATACATCTGCAGACGGAGAGCAAGAAATATACTGCATTAGGCACAAATTAGGATCCGCTCTGAGGAACCCAGAGTTGCATAGTTACTTTATTCATCTCTCTTTACTACCGAGGCGGAGACTCAATCTTCGAAGACCAAACAAAAGAAACAAAGGAAAACATACGAAACCTTGTATGCTCATTCACTGTAGTGTTTACGGGAGGTGAAAACTAAACACTCTGTCTCCATGCAGGGAAGGCCACGGGAAAAACAGCGAGTTCCCAAATAACTGTCTGGGGAAGTTCAGCAAACCTGGAAACTTACTTCAGTAGACACATCTTGGTTCATTAGTTTGTACACCGTTTCCAGCTGCACAGAAAAACACCTTGACTGTGATTCAAAAAACATTACATTTATATGACACATAAAGGAACATCATTTAATACGAATAAAACCTCTTCACAAAGTACAGGTGTGCAAAATTGAGTTGCTAATAATAATAAAACATATTATTATATTAAATAAAATATAATAAATAAAATATATTTAATATATGAAATAAAATATTAAAACATATTAAATAAAATTTAAATAAAAATTGAATGCCTCCTTTCTGACCTAAATGTCAAAATTAGGTTTGTACACAGGCTAATAAATTTGAAAATAAATCATTAAATAAACTATGAATAAACCATTCAGGCCTTGGCGTAACAAGAAAAGGTGCATAGAAAACTTATTTATTGCTCATTTTGCGCCACACTGATCTACTCTGTCATTAATGACATTGAGTTCATCAATGTCGGGCCTCGTGGTTTGAGCTGACGAAACGATTCATTATCGAAAAAAAGGTGTTCGTCAGTCAGACGTCTCCTGTGAGATGTTTTAGTCATTTTTTTATGAGGAGAAAAGTTGCTCATAGGTAAGTGCTGGTGCGCAAGAAGACGGATCACCACCTTCATAATACACCCATGTCCTCTACCATAAGTGCTACTGACACAGAGGAGAAGGCGTGTCTGCCTCTCAGTGGCGGAGCTAGACTTTTTTTCAAGGGGTGGCCAAAGTGAGCAAGGCTTTATCAGAGGGGTCCATATACAAATGGACCGTTCCATGGAACGAAAGGAAAAAATATTTGTTTCCTTTCGTTTAAAATTAATTAATACAACTAGTGAGGTTATAATTCAAAGCTTTCATATTACATAGCCTACTTACATTTCAGTCATAAAACTTAATGGTTTTTCTCATATTCTTACCACACACATTTCAAGCAAGAGCTGGGAGATATAAAACATTAGAGGGCATGTGCACTAAAACATATGTTAAAAGAATCTGTCTAAAACACAATCTATCAGCACTAGCATGGCTAATATAATAAACGAGGCACTATGCAGCGGTGCACAACCATTTTTTTATTTTTTTTATTTTTTTTTTTTAGAAATGTAGGACAAGTGCCGCCTCTCATTAGGAAGGTAACAGCGGTTACCGGTGAGCGGTAAAATGTAAATACCTGCAGAACTCCTTGACGGTGTAACTCTAAAGCCACGGGTGTGTTTTGGATCAAGCAGGACCCACATGTCAGTTTAACCAATGAACAGCGTCCGGTATCGGGCTGCTTTCAGGGACAGTCGGAAATTACAGTTTTCCTGGCAAATCTTTGCCGATCTCATAAGTATTATATTTTAAAATGACCATTTCCAGTGGGGTGGCAGTAAGGGTGGCCAGGGCTCTGTTGGGGGTGGCAAGTGCCATCCCTCTGGCTCTGCCACTGCTGCCTCTGTCCTGATTGACATGCCAAAAAACAGTAGAGCATTATGGATTCGAAATATAACCGGTGAATGTGGCATCACCGCATTGCCACCGTATAATACCGGTGGGCCGGCTCTAATATTGATTTGAAATTGCCTCGCGGGCCAAATATAATTACACTGCGGGCCAAATTTGGCCCGCGGGCCAGTGTTTGACACCTATGTGTTAGACCATCACTTTCCAAAACAACACAATGAAGACCTTGTAAAAGGACACATGGAGTCAGTGCTACTCTGCTGTACCGTGGTACTGAGATATATATTAAAAAAAACAGTAAAAACCTTGTGGGGTCTAAATGACTCCATATCTGAAGACTGTGGGAGGTTTAATGATATCTGTTGGTAGATTTCCTCCAGTGACAAAAGAGATTGCAATCTGCTTAATTAACTTTTAAAAAGTACTTAAAATATTTAAAACACATATAAAAGACTCAAATGACTCAACCGTCAAGGTTGAATAAGTAAATAAATACATGTTTCTCAGAGTCTGAGAATAAGTAGCAATACATTACAAAATAAAACAAAACACAAACGTATTTAAAAACAAGATTCCATACTAGTTGAGCTGTGGCACCTGGAAGAGCCCTCAAATTCTGCTCAAACCCCAAACCGGCTATGGGCATATCCACATAGCTTAAACTAGGCTTGGGGGTACATATAAGTGCTTCCTTCCACCTGCTTTCTGAGCTTTCTATCGTGCCCTGCCCGGTTGGGTATTAACAACGTGCACGTTCACGGCTACGTCGCGCGGCCACGTTGTTTTGCTGTCACGAGCCTTCCGATCGTGAGTGGAAGCTGGTGCATTACAACGGACACCACATTGAGGTCAACTCTTACGACAACAAAAACAGACAGTACCGCAGATTTCTATCGTTCCGTGGCAAGGTAAACCCTGCCGAGTTATTCGGGTTAGCTGGTGATGTTTAGCTGTTTTTGAATGATATAGTTAGCCAGCTAGCTGTTGAAGTAGCTTAACGGTCCGCGCGAGTCGAAGAAACTTAACATCATTTTCCAATCGACATTCATACGAACACGCCTGTCTGCTTTCATCTCCAAGACATCCGACTAGTAGACATTTTTAAGCTCAAAGGCTTGTTCTTCTAGGTGTTGCGCGTCACTTCAAGCCCGAGTGAGGTCAGGTTTGAATGAAATAACGTTAGCTTGTCATAGCTAGCGGAAACAAG